TTTCTTTCTTTCTTTCTTTCTTTCTTTCTTTCTTTCTTTCTTTCTTTTTCTTTTTTGCAATGACCTATTGACAAAACATGGTAGAGCTTTGTCTTTAAAGGGCCTGTTACATTTTTTTAAACAAATTCAGCATCTTTGCTTAGTTATTTTTTCAGACAAGCCATTATATTTGATAGTACTAATGAATATGATAGCTCAGAAAATGATTCTTCTTCTTCTTGTGCTATATCCCTCATCAGACTTGGCGATCATGTTGGAAATCCTATTTTTATCAACAGATGCACGAAAAAGTGCTATTGATTTTTGTCTAAACCAGTCCCTTAGATTTTGAAGCCATGATGTTCTTCTTCTGCCTGGACCTCATTTGCCTTCATCTTTCCTTGGAGGATTAAGTGAAGTATGCCATATTTGGACAGGTGTCGCATCACATGTCCAAAATATTCTAACTTTTGCTTTTTTTATGGTTTGATTATTTCCCTTAGCTTTTCCAGGTGGCTTATCATCTCCTCATTTCTGATTTTGTCAACCCAATTTCTACATAACAGTCACCTATAAATCCACATTTCAAATGCTTCTAAACTCTTCAAGTGACTTTCTGTCAGAGACCAAACCTCTACTCCATAGAATAGGATAGAAAAGATGTAACATATGAACAAGCCTGATTTTCAATCTTAGGCTTATGTTGTGACTGCAGAAGACAAAAATAATTAAAAGAGATAAAGAAAAATGTCTTTTAAAGAAGTAGAAAAATAAACATGTCAGTATGTTAGGATGAATACTGGAAAGGTTAAGGCTTTGGCTACCTGTGTTGGCTAAACTTTATGGACTATGCCAAGGGTCTTCAAACTTGACAGCTTTAAGACTTGTAGACTTCAATTTCCAGAATTCCTGAGCTAACATGACTGGAGGAGGAATTTTGGGAGTTGAAGTCCACAAGTCTTAAAACTGTCAAGTTTGAAGACACCTGGACTATGCTGTCTCAGATTATAAAGTACCTAGTTGCCACCTGCTATGACTATGTCATGTTTGCCTTGTTTAAGAAATGGAGAATCTTCCATCCCATATAACTGGCTGGAGGAAGTTAAAGTGTACATATTTTAAAGTTGCTAAGGTTGAGAAATACTGGTTTATACATTAATCTACCATTGCCTACTGCTTTCTTAACCTGATACCCTCCCGCCTGCCTCTCCCCAAAAAATTCAATGTATCAGCTTGTATCAACAGGCTCATATTTACATGCTATGATCACTGGAGAATTATCTGACCATATTGTCCACTTTGATGGTTCAAATTCCAAACTTTGACAGCATGGTCTTCTGACATTTTGAGTTGGGTCAATAGTCCCCTGAAGGAAGAATCCCATAAAAATTTAAAATAATTTTCCAGTCATTTTCATAATATATTACCTATCTGACATCAATGCTACCCTTTGTCTCTATTACTTTTTTGACATACTAATTCCAAAATTGCCCATCCATAACCATTGCTAAGTAAAATTTCAAGTATTTTTCTACAATACCTCTACCAATATTGCCTTTCATATTTTGTACGATACACAAAACCAGTTGAGATGCACAATGACCATGTAGTTTAAAAATTTTCACAATACACTAGTAAATCACAATTTTTGCAATAGTATATGTCATGTTAGAGGCAGATAGGAGTTTTCCAGATGGAAGCAAATTTTGGATTAGAGCTGAAGTTTCACCAATATAAGCACTATTATAGATTTAAAGCTTGCAAAATTAACAGGAATGTGACATACATTCATTCTATCTTTCATACCATTTCTAAAGTAGAATGGAAGCTAAAGCATCTTTCTAATATTGGATCAATTTTCTTTCAGAAGCTCTTGTATTGCTTGGTTAAGTGACCCAAACATACAAGCATATACTTACATGATTTTATTATGTAAGTATATACTTACATAATAAAATGATGTTTTCTTCCCAGTGTCCCTTCACTGTTGAATTGTTGAACACAGGCTCATAGATAGATCACATAGATCTCATTGACTCATCCCCAACAGCCTGTGCCCTCACACAGGGCATAAAACATCATGCAGACAACACAACTCCACAATACAGTCCTTTCAACAGTTCCAAGAAGGCTCCATACCCAGACAAATCCCCAAGTGACCTCAATGACTCTCTAAAATAATGGAAATGACCAGCTGTCTGCAAGGAATATAAATCCTTCCATTTCCCCACTTATTTATTTATTTAGCATATGGCACATGTTAGCCAGGGATGAGCAAAGTGGCTGGCTGCCTCTGTGAAAGGAATTTTTTCAGGCAGTGTTATCTTTATCCGCTGGACACATGAATGCTGGTAGGCAATTGGGGGAGGCTCCTGTCTTGTCCCTCCACAGTTTATTCGCTCATGGGAATTGAGCTGCCAAGCTGCTGACCTCAGTGGTATGCAGGCCCACCATCTTACCATGTGCGCCACTGCGGACCCTATTCCCCACTATCCAATCAGAACTGAAGAAGCTTCATGGTGAGAAACAAAATATTTTCAAAGAAAAGCAAGAAGTTCCAGTTGCCTCTTTTGAGACAACCTAGAACTAAAGAAAAATTTCCTGATAGTTGGAACAATTAATCAGTGGAACAACTTGCCTCCAGAAGGTTTTAAAGAAAAGACAATCAATCTTTGTCTGAAATGTTATAAAGTTTCCTGCTTGAGCAGCAGGTGGATTACAAGACCCTCAAAGTTTCTTCCAACTCTATTCCAACAGAATATTCTGTTACTCTGCTTATTGGATTTGTGTATAATTGACTATAAGAGTTGAGTTATGAGAATTGAGACATTTGTATCAGTGGTGGGATTCAAATT